CTCTCACAACTGGTGTTATCTAGCTATTTGCTGCGGCTCTGCCTTGCGCTATATTACATCCATTTAGCATTGCAGCTCTACGTTGAGCTAACAGCAGCTCTACTTTGAGCTAACAGCAGCTCTACTTTGAGCTAACAGCAGCTCTACTTTGAGCTAACAGCAGCTCTACTTTGAGCTAACCGCAGCTCTACTTTGAGCTAACAGCAGCTCTACTTTGAGCTAACCGCAGCTCTACTTTGAGCTAACCGCAGCTCTACTTTGAGCTAACAGCAGCTCTACTTTGAGCTAACAGCAGCTCTACCTTGAGCTAACAGCAGCTCTACTTTGAGCTAACAGCAGCTCTACTTTGAGCTAACAGCAGCTCTACTTTGAGCTAACAGCAGCTCTACTTTGAGCTAACCGCAGCTCTACTTTGAGCTAACAGCAGCTCTACTTTGAGCTAACAGCAGCTCTGCTCTGAGCTAACAGCAGCTCTGCTCTGAGCTAACACCAGCTCTACTTTGAGCTTCAAACCAGTTGTTTCGAAACCAGCACTCCTCAATCCAAAGATGCCTCTTTGTTGACTTGTTTGTGTGAGGGATGGGGCTAACACCAGATAGCAGCGTGAGTCAGTGTCGCTCCTGGACGGTGAGAGCTCAACTGATGAGGGGTGAATCCCCCGAAACCCTGTGTATTGAGCAGTGAGTGGTGCTTTCTTGCAGGTTTGCCGAGTCGAAGGTTCGATGGACTTCTCGTGTGCTCTGGATGGCAGTCGTGAGTCAGTCAAGTGTCAAGTAAAGTCGGCGGAATAGCGCAAGCTCCGGTGTGGGGAGCAAACCCTTTATTATTATTATTATTATTACCAAAACTTGTTTTCATGTAAATAACTAAAATTGTTCCTAAACGTTTTCGTCGCCATCTCATGAGAGGATTACTGGCAAATCAAAATTAGCTCTTAACTCAATATATATACCCACAATGCAAGCAATAATTTAGACCCTAACTAGCGTGAGAAAATGAGAGCTGAAAGAAACATTACATCAATCAACGATATCAGGTGACAACAGATGCGATAAATTCACCACTAGAAAGTAACCATGCACCACAAACGAGAACTACTGATCTAAATTCACAAACAATTTCAACGTAAACAAATTCATTTTCTGCCTACACAACAAGCTTAGTTATTTACATGAAAACAAGTTTTGCCAATGGTGTTTGTACTGAGTGCGCAGCTTACTCTATTTATTGCGTTGATTACATTTTTATCTCCACGTAAGCTTTTTAATTATTATTATTATTATTCACTAGTTTGAGGGAAAGAGACAAATGGAAAAAGTCTGAAGAAAAAATTGACTGTCACCACCAGAACTCGAACCAGGGACCCTCGCTTGTAGCTAGCGATGCTCTAACCACTGAGCTATGGTGTAGTCGTCATCCCAGCAGAGACTGTTCAACATTTTTTTCAGACTTCGTAACTCACACTTGCTGTGAATCCACACAGGCGGGTGGGACGCAGCCCTCACTGTACCCACACACTTCACGTACACTCTAGCACGCGGGGAGCCCTAAGTCATTATCATTTATTATTATTATTATTTGAAACTCGGATGTTGAGCCATAAAAAAATGTAGAAGAGAAAAGGACATATGGATACGAGTTAAGAGTAACTCTCCATCACTGTAATATGATACTATATACAGTCAGAAAGTGCAATAACTAGGCGCAAAACTGACAGAGTACTGAAACATTCGACGTCCTGACACCTAGCTTCAACACATCTCCGTAGCGCTAACCGACAGCCTTCCAACTTGGAAGGTTCAAGGTTATGGAAAGACCGAAGAGGGAAGGCAAGCGCAACGAAAACGAGCAAAAGCTACAGTCCCAACGGAACAAAGAATGTCGATTGTTACTTGACGATGGAGATGTGTTGAAGCTAGGTGTCAGGACGTCGAATGTTTCAGTACTCTGTCAGTTTTGTGCCTAGTTATTGCACTTTCTGACTGTATATAGTATCATATTACAGTGATGGAGAGTTACTCTTAACTCGTATACATATGTCCTTTTCTCTTCTACATTATTATTATTATTATTACAAAAAAAGTATTGTCTACGCATGCATCTACGCAAGAGTCACCACCAGCCAATTAGGACATGTGTCAAAGTATTGAACGTTTTCGTTCCCTTCTTGTCAAAATACTACAGGGAATGATGGAAATAAGCTAAAAGACTACAACTATAAGGAAAAGAAGTTCAGAAATATATCACTCCAATTATGTGTAGAAGTGACACGAAAAAAAATAGATGTGAAGAATCAAGAAAACAGCATGCAAATCCAATAAGTGACAAAAACGTAGTGACAAGAAAAAGAGAGAAACATCAAGAGATCTATTTCGCACCTTCACGACGAACAGTGCCAAACAACTGTAAAGACAACACATTCTCCTTCTGAACACAAAGCTCAGGGTCTAACTTACGTATGTACAAAGCTTCCAACACGGCAAGATGTAACAAAGACCTACCACGCGACAAAACAGAGAATACATCATCGGAGTACCACTCACGAGTGATATATTTCTGAACTTCTTTTCCTTATAGTTGTAGTCTTTTAGCTTATTTCCATCATTCCCTGTAGTATTTTGACAAGAAGGGAACGAAAACGTTCAATACTTTGACACATGTCCTAATTGGCTGGTGGTGACTCTTGCGTAGATGCATGCGTAGACAATACTTTTTTTGTAATATTTTCTGCCTCCGTCCTACTTTCAAATTATTATTATTATTATTATTATTAACTGGTTTCGAGGGAAAGAGACAAACGGGAAAAGTCTGAAGAAAAAATTGACTGTCACCACCAGGACTCGAACCAGGGACCCTCGCTTGTAGCCAGCGATGCTCTAACCACTGAGCTATGGTGTAGTTGTCATCCAAGCAGAGACCATTCAACGTTTTCTTCAGACTTCGTAACTCACATTTCCTGTGAATCCACACAGGCGGGTGGGACGCAGCCCTCACTGTACCCACACACTTCACGTACAAACTAGCACGCGGGGAGCCCCAGGTCATAAAATATTAACTGGTTTTGAGGGAAAGAGACAAACGGGAAACGTCTGAAGAAAAAATTGACTGTCACCATCAGGACTCGAACCTGGGACCCTCGCTTGTAGCCAGCGATGCTCTAACCACTGAGCTATGGTGTAGTCGTCATCCCAGCAGAGGCCGTTCAACTTTTTCTTCAGACTTCGTAACTCACACTTCCTGTGAATCCACACAGGCGGTGGGGACGCAGCCCTCACTGTACCCACACACTTCACGCACAGACTAGCACGCGGGGAGCCCCAGGTCATGAGATATTAACTGGTTTTGAGGGAAAGGGACAAACGGGAAAAGTCTGAAGAAAAATTATTATTATTATTATTATTATTCTTGAATTGTTTGCAGGCAACCTGCCTACACTCAAGAGAGCACTGCATTTCACACAAATCCATTGGTATCGTTACAACGTTTCGGTCTTTATGACCATCATCAGGAATGAAGTGGACATGGAAAGAACAGCAGTATAAAAGAAGGAGGCAAGCAAGCAAAGCGCGGTACATAGTGACAGCGCGCGTAGAGAAGTGCAAAGCGCGTCATGGCGGGTGTGCATTACTACATATACATGACAACACAAGCACGAACGGCGAGGAAAGTAGATACTGCGCTACAGCAGTGATAACAGCCCAGTTCCAGTCTCACACCACCAGTGAGGTGTCTAGAGCCCCGCGCCACTCGCAGTAAGGTGGTGTTATAGCAGATCCCAGCCACTGTTATTGTTAATTTCCGGGGATCGCTCCCTGATATTGATGGCCTCCCGGATCCTCCTCCTGGGGCGGTCACGCTCAGAACCGAGAACCCGGATACCTGAGAAAGCCGTTGCTCCCAATGGCAATGGGTCAAATGCATGCTTGGCCGCGAAATGCTCACCCAGCGCGGTGCCGCTCACTGTGTTGCGTGCGTCGTCGTTGTGTTCTTTTGTCCTGGTAGCGAGGCTGCGGTACGTCTCTCCGACATATTTATCACCACATTTGCACTCGAGGTGGTATACAACATTTCGCTCCGTGCATGCCCCTGAACCGGACATGCAGGCGACACAAGCAGCTTTGGGCCGCCCCCGTTTACGGGGCCTGGACGGGTCTACATACCTGCGGCATGGTGGTTTGCGGAGGGCAGACGTGCAAATCATAGAACTTAGACGGCGGTTCCTGTAAATCAGCTGGGCATTTATCTTGTACTTCCGGAGTAATTTATGAATTTTGTTGTGGATATACTCGGTGTGAAACGGTAGGTTGAGGGTGACACGGTATTCATTCTGCACTCTGACACGTCGGGGGCGCACAGCTCGTTCACGTGCCGAGACTATAACTGACTCTGGGAAGTTGTTGAATTTTAGGATGTTGGTTACTTTTTCTTCACTTCTTTTTAGGGTGTCGGCATCGGAGGATAGGCGGACGCACGCAGGAACTCAGAGGAAGCAATTGCTTTCTTTTGCTGGTTGGGAACTGACGAGTTGTAGTCTGATACCAGTCCACTGTGACATGGCTTGCGGTATAGTTCATAGGA